AGGGCATGAGGGGCGGAAGCCCCGGCATGAGGGGTCAACGCATGAAGTGCCAATGCCCCAGCATGAGGTGGTCAACACATGAGGGGCCAGCCAAGGCCCCAGCATGGGGGGTCAGGGCATGAGGGGCGGAAGCCCCGGCATGAGGGGTCAACGCATGAAGGGCCAATGCCCCAGCATGAGGTGGTCAACGCATGAGGGGCCAGCCAAGGCCCCAGCATGAGGGGGTCAACGCATGAGGGGCCGAAGCCCCGGCATGAACGCCTGAAGGACCAATGCCTCAGCATGAGGGGGTCAACGCATGAGGGGCCAGCCAAGACCCCAGCATGAGGGGTCAGGGCATCAGGGGCCGAAGCCCCGACGCATGAAGGGCCAATGCCCCAGCATGAGGGGGTCAACACATGAGGGGCCAGCCAAGGCCCCAGCATGAGGGGTCGACGCGTGAGGGACCAAGGCCCCAGCATGTGTGTCGACGCATGATGGGCAAGCCCCAGCATGAGGGGTAAGAGCATGAGGGAACGACGCCCCGGCATGATGGGTCAACGCATGAGCACAGTGCCTGGTGTTGGCAAGACTATCCTCTTCGATAATGCAAGTCCGGGGAAGGCCCACCCCCATACAGCCGTATCAGGGCGCTGCCAATTATAACCTGATTCATAAGGCAGGTATGGAGGAGCTGGGAAACGATGTCCAGCCTCCTGATATGTCGAGTAAGCAACTGCTCGCTCGACATGGCGATTTTCAAGCGAGGTTGGGAGGACCCCTATTTGAAACCAGATTGCCTGTGTCGCCCCGGTGCCATAACTCCTGAGGGCTCGGGTGAGGTGCTCTTCGGAAATCGATGGTCTCCTTACAGGCGCCCCGTGCGTCCTCACCCAACTACCCAACAGGAGCCCTGCGCACCATTGGCATGGGGGAAGGGAGGAGGAGGAGGAGGAGGAACAGAAGGAAGAGAGGAGGGAGGGACGAGGGAGAAGGAGAGACAGCAGACGTAGAACGCTGTGCACATATCCCCCAAGGCCCAAGCGCCCAGCGAGATTCCACACGAGCGAATCCATGCGCTAAGGAGTGTAGAGTGGAGTGTGGAACCACGCGTGTGGATTCGCTCGTGTGGAACGCGCTCCACAATGAGCTCGCCCCACACATTCCTCACTGGCCGGTGCCACCTCACTGTGCGAATCCTGCACACATGAGGCGACACGCAAGTCGAGTGGCGAGGCCGAGTGGCGACTGCACCGGTGCGCTCGCATGCCGATGTCGGGTGAAGCGGTGCAGAGTTCCTCAATCGATTGTCTGGGCGGGCTGTCTCTCAGTGCCCGACCCCTGAAGGCCAAAGAAGGCCCAAGACTTGCCAAACATCTCGGCCCTCGATCGAGGAGGAAGGAGGTGGACCTGCACATATGCTCCAGGGCTCCGCCCCCCCCCACCAATGCTAATGGGATCAACTCCCCCTCCGCTGGATGGGCACGCCCGTGAGCCTCGCCAGGACTGGCGGAGCCACACGCTAATCTAAAAAGTCCCCACTTGAAGAGGGACCGACCGTCCCGGTATTCTTAGAGGCCTACCACGAAATTTTTCTCAGAACCCAAACATGGTCTAAGGACAAAACAATGCCCTTAGAACAGAAAGCCGAGGTACTAAAACAAGAGAGCCCCAACCAGAAATTTCTGAGAACATGTCGTACGGACCACAAGAGATTCGTAGAACATTTTCGGTGGGCATATCGGCGAGCCAGGACGCCTCGCCACTGCTTGATCCGACCGGCGAAGCCACACGCTAACCCAAAAGCTCCCGACCGCAGAGCTCCAGTAGAAGAAAGCAACGGCAAAAACACAACCTTTTGGCGCTCCGCGCGGACTTCCTGGATCTGCGCCGGACCCCTATTCCCCGACGCTGGAGGCGCCGCCCAGGGGGCCCAGCGCGGATCCAAGAAATCCGCGCGGTGCTCCAAAAATTGTGTTTACGGCGTTTTTTCTCCTTCGACCAGCTCCCCCCTTCTCCTCCCTCCCTGGGAGAACAAACATGTACCCATGCCGCTGCTCCCCGAACGTCGCCGCCGTCGTCATCGTCGTCGTCGTCGCCGCCGCCGCCGTCGTCGTCGTCGTCCTCGTCGTCCAGGCACGAGCTGGCCGGCTGCCCGAACGCG